CACCATTAACAAGTGGGCAGAAGATATGAATAGATTTTTTTCCAAAAGGAGATAAGCAGATGACAAAAAAAATGCTTAGCATCTACTGGTCATCAGGGAAATGCAGATTAAAATCATGGTGAGATAGGATCTTACCACTGTGAAAATGGCCATTATTAAAATGTCCTACAACCCCACCTACTAGACCTTGGGGCAGATGCAGTGAAGAGGGAACATTTATACACTGTTGCCAGGGATGTGAATTGGTGCAACTTCTGTGAAAAGCAGTATGCAGATTTTCCTTAAAAAACTAAAAGTAAAATGATATTCAACCCAGCAATCCCAATACTAGGTATCTACTCAGAGGAAAAGAAGCCATTATGCCAGAAAGGCACACAGGCTGGTCTGTTTATCACAGCACAGTTTACAGTTGCAGAGATACAGAACCAAACTAGTGCCCAGCGACCCGTGAGTGGATAAAGAAAATGTGCATGAATTCGTGTGACTATGCATCCAGGCTGTCCAGAAAGCATCCAGCCATATAACATGAAATACAGAGATAGATGTGGCTGGATACCTCCCAAACAGTGTGTATATGTGAATGTGGTATAGGGGTGTATGTACCCCCACCCCATAACCATAAAAGGGAACGAAATGATGTCTTACGCAGGTTGGTTAGAACTAGATACCACTATCTGAAGTGAAGTATCTCATGAATGAGAAAACAAATATCTCATGTTCTTACTTACAAGGGAGAGCTAAACAATGGGGTATATATGATCATGAAATGGTATAATGGACATTGGAAATTAAGAAAAGAGGAAGGTGGGATGAGGGCAAAAGACCAGAAATTGCTTATCAGGTACAGTGGATGCTATTCTGTACCCATTCTGGTGATGGGTACTGAGGCCCTGACTTCATCTGTATGCAGTTCATCCATGTAATAATAATAAAACTTATATCCCCTAAATCTATTGAAATAATAATAAAAACAACTACATACAAATGATAAAACAAAATATGTTTGCTTGGAAATACTGGCTGAATTTGTAGCAAGTAGGGTGGTTCACATAGGACTTTCCAGCAATATCACACTTTGATATGGTTAAGAACAAAATAGTAATACAGAAGATAAACTCTCAGACAAAATAAGGTTAACAAAGGAGTTTTTGTTACAATTTGATGAACACACTGATTTTGCTAACATGACAATGGTGTGAGGTAAGACTTTCTTTTTCAGCTTTATTGCTAACAATAGAACTTACTCTGAAA